ATAGTTCTACTCTGTTGTACAGTCTTATTAATACATACCCAAATACATAAAATAATAAAAATGTTAAATCCATCCAAAGCCAAAGTTAAAATCCAGCGCCGAATCACTGCAGCTACAGAAGCTAATGCTAACTCTGCTAGCGCACAGAGACCAGGGTGTTTATGGGGTATTGAATGACATAATCTCCCATTGCCCTTATTATTGTTTTGGATTAAGATGAGAGATTTGCACTGAGTCGCTTCAAAACAGCCTTAAGTCGACGGAACGAGGACTGAGGAGTTGTCACCGCGGCGATATTGGACGATCCCAACTCAAGTACCGCAGATTATTGACGTCTGGAGAGTTTGAAAACTTCAACTGGAGAAAAAAGTTTATGGAAAAGTCGACGGGAACCGGCAACAACGATATGGTCTGAGTTTGGAGAGGTTCAAGGGATGTGATGGAATACTACTGCTACTGCTACTGCTACTGCTGCTGCTGCTGCTACTGCTACTGCTGCTGCTGCTGCTGCTGCTGCTGCTGCTGCTGCTGCTGCTGCTGCTGCTGCTGCTGCTACTGCTGCTGCTGCTGCTGCTGCTGCTGCTGCTGCTGCTGCTGCTGCTGCTGCTGCTGCTGCTGCTGCTGCTGCTGCTGCTGCTGCTGCTGCTGCTACTGCTGCTGCTGCTGCTGCTGCTGCTACTGCTACTACTGCTGCTGCTGCTGCTGCTGCTGCTGCTGCTGCTGCTGCTGCTGCTGCTACTACTGCTGCTGCTGCTGCTGCTGCTGCTGCTGCTGCTGCTGCTGCTGCTGCTGCTGCTGCTGCTGCTACTACTGCTGCTGCTGCTGCTGCTGCTGCTGCTGCTACTGCTGCTGCTGCTACTGCTGCTGCTGCTACTGCTACTGCTACTGCTGCTACTACTACTGCTGCTACTGTTACTACTACTACTACTGCTGCTACTGCTGCTACTGCTACTGCTGCTACTGCTACTGTTACTACTACTACTACTGCTGCTACTGCTGCTACTACTGCTGCTACTGCTGCTACTGCTGCTGCTACTGCTGCTACTACTGCTGCTACTACAACAGGAATGACAACTACCAGGTTAAAACTACTACTACCATTACAACTGCATAAATATGGAACGGGGGTCTCCAACCTGTGGCTCGGGAGCTAACAGTAGCTCGCCAGCCCCTTTCAGGTAGCTCAATACATTTTATATATTATACAGTATTATGGTATATTTTACATGTATTCTCTATGTTTTGTCGTAATTATTAGATGGACTTGTATTACGACTGCAAAAAGGAGTAGCTCTCTGCCTCTTTGCTTGTACAAAAGTAGCTCTCTGAAAAAGGTTGGGGACCACTGCTATAGAACAATACATACAATATTTAATTTTAAGCTATCAACACATCTTTGCTGGAACTGCTCCTGAAACCGATTGTTCCACCGCTGTGTGAAGAATTAAAGGTTCTCTCTCCGTCTCTCCTTCTCTGTATCTCCATGGTAACGAGCAGGCAACACCATCAGACCATGTTTACGAGTCAGGTCTATGAGGAGGAGAGCCTGCTTTGTATATGATCAAAAAAAGAAAATAAAAATCAACTAAATATGTGTAAGTCTGGGTGAGTTCACTGTAAATCTGAACTTTAAACGGTTATACACTGAAGCTCATACTCTGGCGTTATTGCACATTAGTGGACATGACAGTGGACACACATGGTCCCATATGGTTACCAGGAGTCCAAGCGTTATTGCACATTAGTGGACATGACAGTGGACACACATGGTCCCATATGGTTACCAGGAGTCCGAGCGTTATTGCACATTAGTGGACATGACAGTGGACACACATGGTCCCATATGGTTACCAGGAGTCCAAGTGTTATTGCACATTAGTGGACATGACAGTGGACACACATGGTCCCATATGGTTACCAGGAGTCCAAGCGTTATTGCACATTAGTGGACATGACAGTGGACACACATGGTCCCATATGGTTACCAGGAGTCCAAGCGTTATTGCACATTAGTGGACATGACAGCGGACACACATGGTCCCATATGGTTACCAGGAGTCCGAGCGTTATTGCACATTAGTGGACATGACAGTGGACACACATGGTCCCATATGGTTACCAGGAGTCCAAGCGTTATTGCACATTAGTGGACATGACAGCGGACACACATGGTCCCATATGGTTACCAGGAGTCCGAGCGTTATTGCACATTAGTGGACATGACAGTGGACACACATGGTCCCATATGGTTACCAGGAGTCCGAGCGTTATTGCACATTAGTGGACATGACAGTGGACACACATGGTCCCATATGGTTACCAGGAGTCCGAGCGTTATTGCACATTAGTGGACATGACAGTGGACACACATGGTCCCATATGGTTACCAGGAGTCCGAGCGTTATTGCACATTAGTGGACATGACAGTGGACACACATGGTCCCATATGGTTACCAGGAGTCCGAGCGTTATTGCACATTAGTGGACATGACAGTGGACACACATGGTCCCATATGGTTACCAGGAGTCCAAGCGTTATTGCACATTAGTGGACATGACAGTGGACACACATGGTCCCATATGGTTACCAGGAGTCCAAGTGTTATTGCACATTAGTGGACATGACAGTGGACACACATGGTCCCATATGGTTACCAGGAGTCCAAGCGTTATTGCACATTAGTGGACATGACAGTGGACACACATGGTCCCATATGGTTACCAGGAGTCCGAGCGTTATTGCACATTAGTGGACATGACAGTGGACACACATGGTCCCATATGGTTACCAGGAGTCCGAGCGTTATTGCACATTAGTGGACATGACAGTGGACACACATGGTCCCATATGGTTACCAGGAGTCCGAGCGTTATTGCACATTAGTGGACATGACAGTGGACACACATGGTCCCATATGGTTACCAGGAGTCCGAGCGTTATTGCACATTAGTGGACATGACAGTGGACACACATGGTCCCATATGGTTACCAGGAGTCCGAGCGTTATTGCACATTAGTGGACATGACAGTGGACACACATGGTCCCATATGGTTACCAGGAGTCCGAGCGTTATTGCACATTAGTGGACATGACAGTGGACACACATGGTCCCATATGGTTACCAGGAGTCCGAGCGTTATTGCACATTAGTGGACATGACAGTGGACACACATGGTCCCATATGGTTACCAGGAGTCCGAGCGTTATTGCACATTAGTGGACATGACAGTGGACACACATGGTCCCATATGGTTACCAAGAGTCCAAGCGTTATTGCACATTAGTGGACATGACAGTGGACACACATGGTCCCATATGGTTACCAGGAGTCCAAGTGTTATTGCACATTAGTGGACATGACAGTGGACACACATGGTCCCATATGGTTACCAGGAGTCCAAGCGTTATTGCACATTAGTGGACATGACAGTGGACACACATGGTCCCATATGGTTACCAGGAGTCCGAGCGTTATTGCACATTAGTGGACATGACAGTGGACACACATGGTCCCATATGGTTACCAGGAGTCCGAGCGTTCAATGTATTCAAACTCAAACTCATACTCTCATAATTGCACAGAGAGGTAAAGTGACACACATGGTTTCAAATTGCACAAATGCATGACATGTTAGGTCAGAGTGGAAGTGGAGGTCTCTCTCGCTCTCCCACACACACAGGTCTCTCTCCCTCTCTCTCCCACACACACAGGTCTCTCTCTCACACACACACAGGTCTCTCTCTCGCTCTCCCACACACACAGGTCTCTCTCCCTCTCTCTCCCACACACACAGGTCTCTCTCTCACACACACACAGGTCTCTCTCTCACACACACACAGGTCTCTCTCTCACACACACACAGGTCTCTCTCTCACACACACACAGGTCTCTCTCTCACACACACACAGGTCTCTCTCTCACACACACAGAGGTCTCTCTCCCACACGCAAAGGTCTCTCTCTCTCTCCCACACACACAGGTCTCTCTCTCACACACACAAGTCTCTCTCCCACACACAAGTCTCTCTCTCCCACACACAAGTCTCTCTCTCTCTCTCCCACACACACAGGTCTCTCTCTCCCACACACACAGGTCTCTCTCTCCCCCACACACAGGTCTCTCTCTCTCTCTCCCACACACAGGTCTCTCTCTCTCTCCCACACGCAAAGGTTTCTCTCTCCCACACACACAGGTTTCTCTCTCTCTCTCTCCCACACGCAAAGGTTTCTCTCTCTCACACACACAGGTCTCTCTCTTTCACACACACAGGTCTCTCTCTCTCTCTCTCTCCCACACGCAAAGGTTTCTCTCTCTCACACACACAGGTCTCTCTCTCCCACACACACAGGTTTCTCTCTCTCTCTCTCCCACACGCAAAGGTCTCTCTCTCTCACACACACGGGTCTCTCTCTCCCACACACACAGGTCTCTCTCTCTCTCTCTCCCACACATAGGTCCTCTCTCCCACACGCAAAGGTCTCTCTCTCTCCCACACACACAGGTCTCTCTCCCACACACACAGATCTCTCTCTCTCCCAGACACACAGATCTCTCTCTCTCCCAGACACACAGGTCTCTCTCTCACACACACAGGTCTCTCCCTCACACACACAGGTTTTCTCTCTCTCTCACACACACAGGTCTCTCTCTTTACACACAGATCTCTCTCTCTCCCAGACACACAGATCTCTCTCTCTCCCAGACACACAGGTCTCTCTCTCACACACACAGGTCTCTCCCTCACACACACAGGTCTCTCTCTCTCTCCCACACACAAGTCTCTCTCTCTCTCTCACACACACAGGTCTCTCTCTCTCTCTCCCACACACACAGGTCTCTCTCTCCCTCTCCCACACGCACAGGTCTCTCTCCCACACGCACAAGTCTCTCCCACACGCACAGGTCTCTCCCACACGCACAGGTTTCTCTCCCACACGCACAAGTCTCTCCCACACGCACAGGTCTCTCCCACACGCACAGGTCTCTCCCACACGCTCTCACCTGTCATACTCGGCGTTGTCCCTGTCGCAGCGCGCGTCCTTGTGCTTCTGCCAGTCCTTGCCGTGCTTACACGTGGTCAGCAGCACCACGTCCTCCGCGTTGTGCACATGGTATAAGGCATTCCTGGTGTCCGAGCCGATGCCGGTCAGGTAACGTTTCCCTTTGAAAACCAGCATGTACTTTCTGAAGGGGGGGATGGAGTTGTATTTGAGGAACCCCCGCTCGCCCCCAGTCCTCGGGTGGTCTTTGGAGAACAGTGGGATGGAGACGTCGAAGTTGGGTCTGAAGTTCTCCGTGCTGATGCTGGCTTTGGCCAACATGGCTTGCCCAATGTCAAAGCCCAAGTCTTCCGTGTAGTCAGGCCACGTCCCAGAATATAAGTTAAATATGAGGTGATTTCTCCCGTCGTTCCATTGAGGCAAGCTTTGGACTTTAGTTTTGAGGTTATGCACGTACTGAGGAGACAGCTGATCCCTGTCCAGTGTGTCCAGGCTCAAAACAAACAAACAGGCCAGTCCTGGGTCAGAAGTGTAAAACCTGGAGCCTTCAATCGCGGCTAAAATATTCTGGTAACTCTCGGAAATCTTCTCCCCCTTCTGCTGCGGGTACACGTAAACTTTAAATCCATTCTTTTGGCAGAGCGAGTGGTCAAAGCAGGAGTCCATGCGACACCGTTTCCCCTTGTAAACACTGGCGCTGACGTCTCGCTTCTGCCGCGGGGAAATGTGCACGTTGTAGTCCTCGGTGTCGCTCTGGTCCCACGGCTGGATCGGCGGTAACGGGTCGGAGAAGTGTGGCCACGGCTGCCGCTCCCCCTTCCTGCGCTCATGCCTGCCTTTACGCGCGGCCGGGGGAGGCAGCTCGAAGCCCAGGTAGAAGAGCAGAGCCAGGCACGCACCGGCCGACAGCAGGATCAGGTAACGTTTTTTGGCCTGCATGTGTCCCAGGAGCAGAGTGAGAACGAATGGAGAGAATCGGTGGAAGTGGCCCCCAAGTTTGGCTGTCACTCTCCCCGGCGACACCGCTCCATCCTCCGGCTCCCCCCTTCAGAGTATTCGCTTCCCAAAGCAGCGGAGTGTTCCAGGGCATGTGGGCGACTGTGTTAAAAGTCTCGGTCCCTGCGTCTCCCTCTGATGAAGAGTTGGGCCATATTTTCTTGAGCGACTTTAAGCCTCATCCAGAGACAGTGGCTCTCTCCCCCCGGGGTGACCCTCTCCCCCCGGGCTGACTCTCTCCACAGCAGCAGCCTCCTCAGGGAAGTGTTTCTCCAGCGGCTTGAGGCTCCCGCGGATGGGGTGCTCTGTCTCCGCTGGTGCTGCCTCTATCCCCGGTGCTCGGTCACTCTCTGGTCCCCGGTGCTCGGTCACTCTCTGGTCCCCGGTGCTCGGTCACAGCAGCAGAAGCAGCACAGATGTAACCTGACGAATCCCTGCATTTCGCCTCTGGTTCCTGCTGCGCTCTGTGCGTAAATGTGGAGACGCAGCGGCGCAGAGTCCAGCCCGAGCCGCTCTCTGCACAGCGGGGCTCAGCAGACGCTCCGAAGGCACAGATTCCAGGGTCCCAGTGTCCAATTACCGAGTGCTCAGTTGTTTCGATTGTTAGTCGGTAACATTCCAATCCCGACACGACGGCAGCTGACGCTACGTCCCACCGCTGCGCACCCCCGCCTCTGATTGGTCCGTGCGTGGCACCGGAAGAGGCGGGACTAAGGGAATGCACCCATTCATACCCAGAGCCCTGGTCTGTGAGGTCCACAGCAGGAGCGGTCTGGTCTGTGAGGTCCACAGCAGGAGGACTCTGGTCTGTGAGGTCCACAGCAGGAGGACTCTGGTCTGTGTGGTCCACAGCAGGAGGACTCTGGTCTGTGAGGTCCACAGCAGGAGGACTCTGGTCTGTGAGGTCCACAGCAGGAGGACTCTGGTCTGTGAGGTCCACAGCAGGAGGACTCTGGTCTGTGAGGTCCACATGCAGGAGGACTCTGGTCTGTGAGGTCCACAGCAGGAGGACTCTGGTCTGTGAGGTCCACAGCAGGAGGACTCTGGTCTGTGAGGTCCACAGCAGGAGGACTCTGGTCTGTGAGGTCCACAGCAGGAGGACTCTGGTCTGTGAGGTCCACAGCAGGAGGACTCTGGTCTGTGAGGTCCACAGCAGGAGGACTCTGTGCATCATGTGTCTACTCGTACTCTACTTTAGAGTAGGCATGTCCAAACTCAGGCCCGGGGGCCAATTGCGGCCCTCAGAGTCATTTTATGTGGCCCTGTGCCTTTCTAACCCAAAAAAGTCTTTGAGGTCATAAACACAAGTTCACTGTGTCATCCATCCAACTCCAGCTCAGCCAATATAGACATTTTGTAACATCTCACTCTAACTAACTCTAACACAGACCTCTCACTCTAACTAACTCTAACACAGACCTCTCACTCTAACTAACTCTAACACAGACCTCTCACTCTAACTAACTCTAACACAGACATCTCACTCTAACTAACTCTAACACAGACATCTCACTCTAACTAACTCTAACACAGACCTCTCACTCTAACTAACTCTAACACAGACATCTCACTCTAACTAACTCTAACACAGACCTCTCACTCTAACTAACTCTAACACAGACCTCTCACTCTAACTAACTCTAACACAGACCTCTCACTCTAACTAACTCTAACACAGACCTCTCACTCTAACTAACTCTAACACAGACATCTCACTCTAACTAACTCTAACACAGACATCTCACTCTAACTAACTCTAACACAGACATCTCACTCTAACTAACTCTAACACAGACCTCTCACTCTAACTAACTCTAACACAGACATCTCACTCTAACTAACTCTAACACAGACCTCTCACTCTAACTAACTCTAACACAGACATCTCACTCTAACTAACTCTAACACAGACATCTCACTCTAACTAACTCTAACACAGACATCTCACTCTAACTAACTCTAACACAGACATCTCACTCTAACTAACTCTAACACAGACATCTCACTCTAACTAACTCTAACACAGACATCTCACTCTAACTAACTCTAACACAGACATCTCACTCTAACTAACTCTAACACAGACATCTCACTCTAACTAACTCTAACACACAGACATCTCACTCTAACTAAACTCTAACACAGACATCTCACTCTAACTAACTCTAACACAGACCTCTCACTCTAACTAACTCTAACACAGACATCTCACTCTAACTAACTCTAACACAGACATCTCACTCTAACTAACTCTAACACAGACATCTCACTCTAACTAACTCTAACACAGACATCTCACTCTAACTAACTCTAACACAGACATCTCACTCTAACTAACTCTAACACAGACATCTCACTCTAACTAACTCTAACACAGACATCTCACTCTAACTAACTCTAACACAGACATCTCACTCTAACTAACTCTAACACAGACATCTCACTCTAACTAACTCTAACACAGACATCTCACTCTAACTAACTCTAACACAGACATCTCACTCTAACTAACTCTAACACAGACATCTCACTCTAACTAACTCTAACACAGACCTCTCACTCTAACTAACTCTAACACAGACATCTCACTCTAACTAACTCTAACACAGACATCTCACTCTAACTAACTCTAACACAGACATCTCACTCTAACTAACTCTAACACAGACATCTCACTCTAACTAACTCTAACACAGACCTCTCACTCTAACTAACTCTAACACAGACATCTCACTCTAACTAACTCTAACACAGACATCTCACTCTAACTAACTCTAACACAGACATCTCACTCTAACTAACTCTAACACAAACATCTCACTCTAACTAACTCTAACACAGACATCTCACTCTAACTAACTCTAACACAGACCTCTCACTCTAACTAACTCTAACACAGACATCTCACTCTAACTAACTCTAACACAGACCTCTCACTCTAACTAACTCTAACACAGACATCTCACTCTAACTAACTCTAACACAGACATCTCACTCTAACTAACTCTAACACAGACATCTCACTCTAACTAACTCTAACACAAACATCTCACTCTAACTAACTCTAACACAGACATCTCACTCTAACTAACTCTAACACAGACCTCTCACTCTAACTAACTCTAACACAGACATCTCACTCTAACTAACTCTAACACAGACCTCTCACTCTAACTAACTCTAACACAGACATCTCACTCTAACTAACTCTAACACAGACATCTCACTCTAACTAACTCTAACACAGACATCTCACTCTAACTAACTCTAACACAGACATCTCACTCTAACTAACTCTAACACAGACCTCTCACTCTAACTAACTCTAACACAGACATCTCACTCTAACTAACTCTAACACAAACATCTCACTCTAACTAACTCTAACACAGACCTCTCACTCTAACTAACTCTAACACAGACATCTCACTCTAACTAACTCTAACACAGACCTCTCACTCTAACTAACTCTAACACAGACATCTCACTCTAACTAACTCTAACACAGACATCTCACTCTAACTAACTCTAACACAGACCTCTCACTCTAACTAACTCTAACACAGACCTCTCACTCTAACTAACTCTAACACAGACCTCTCACTCTAACTAACTCTAACACAGACCTCTCACTCTAACTAACTCTAACACAGACCTCTCACTCTGACTCCCACTGATGTCTGCTTTCGTTGTGTCCTTGGGCAAGACACTCAACCTCTGGGGACACCAGCCACAGTGAGTTTCTGAGTGGAGTTTTCATGTTCTCCCCGTGTCTGCGTAGGTTTCCTCCGGTTGCCCCTCCCATCTCTGTGTGGAGTGAGAGACAAATGCCCAAAAATAATAACAATTGTAAACCGCTTTGTGACTCTGGTCTGTGAAAGGCGGTATATAAATAAAGATTACTTACTACACAGTGGGGCGGCTGCGGCTGTAAAGTGCCAAACTGCTCATTGTGTCCTTAGGCAAGACACTTTACCCCCAGAATGAGTCTGGTGTGTGTGTGAGTGGTTGGTGGTGGGAGGGGCCGATGGCACAGACTGGTTGCCTCGCTTCTGTCAGTGTGCCCCAGGGCAGCTGTGGCTACAGTAGTTTATCATCACCGTGTTTGGAGAGAATTAATAATGATGTGAAGAGACTTTGAGTGTCCAGAAAAGCGCTTTATAAAACGTATTATTATTATTGTTTTCCTCGTTTCTTCTGTTTTGTACTTGATGCAACAATGAGGTATTATTTTTGTAGTAATTCATTCATTTCTTCAGTCTCAACAACTTTTTCAAATCCAAAATGTGAGTTAATGACAGACCAAAAGCTGCAGGCTGTAGTTTCTCATTTGTATTTCCTGTTTAGATTTGACATTCCTTATTTGGGCACATATGAAATTATGAAAATGAAGTCCAGCCTAAACTCTCAGGAGCTTGTACCCATGAAACAAAGTGCCGCCTAAGACTCTCTGCACTTGAGGAGCAGGCGCTTTCCGAGGATCTCCATGCCTCATAAGTTCCCATAATCCTCTCTGCTGCCGCCTGCACCAGCACACTGCCGCGGTGAAGGGCCAGACTCATTTTTTATCGGCCAATTAGCTCAGAAGAGGGGCACTAATTAGCAGGGCTGCCCGGGACACGAGCCAGGTCCACGGAGCACGTCTGTCTGCAGGAGGAGGTCTACGGGGTCCAGCTGCTGTCCCCGAGATCTCACGCCGTAAACAAAGTGCTTATGAGAGAGCGCTTCACGTTCTATAATATCTTTACCATGGACTCTACGGCGTTCCCAAAGTCTGGAGCGCTGCGGTTCTACTTTACAGATCGGAAAATCCTTCTGGGCCCTCATCAACACATTTTGTTTGGAAGAATATGTAGTTTTGTTTGTGTACATTATATCGATATTCAATGCATTTCAAGCAGTTTTGTGCAGCAGTCGTCGCAGAGGAATTTACAAAGAAAAGTTCACCAACTACAGATTAGAGAAACAGGAAATGCAATAATAACAAACACACAGGAGCCAACGGAGCGGGAGGAACACTGTCCATAATAATGTCCTGGATCATCACTGCTCTTAAAGCCTTCAGCCTCAGGAACAACTATAAAAAGACAGCGCAAAAAAGAGAGAAACCCCAGGGAGGCCCACATTGAGAGAGGGATCTGGATCTGGTTTTGGTCTTGTCTGGGCTTATCCATCCGTACTCTCCTGTCAATCATCATCTCCTGCATGTAACGTCTGGGTCTGGTCCCTGTGTTTGAGATTACAATTCCATCTGACCAATCAGAGAGCGCGGGAGGCGGGTGTTGTAGTTAGATGTGGGAGACGTCAAGAGTTTGCGTCGAACGGGCAGGTTGTAGTTTGGCGAAGAATGCAATAGTAAAGTATTCTGGTCTGGTTCTATCAAGAAACTGAAGCAGGAGCAAGAGGAATGTTTTGCAAATGTAATCGCTGCAAAAATTGTGGCGCTACTCTCCACGGGCTTTGTTAGCAGCAAAGGAGATGGCTAAAGCTAGGCTAAATGCTAAATGCTAACGACTCACTCAGGCTCATTACATAAGTCACAGTAAACTCAGATCCAATGGTTTCAATCTGCAAAAGGAGTTAGCCCCTCCCACCTGTTAACGGAGTGAATGGAGCAAATCCAGACTTAGTATGAAATGTAGTTTGTACTGTGGTGTGATGCGACCAGGCTAGATCTGGTCCATCAATAACTGGGTACCTAACATTCAAAGCACAAACATGTATGTAATAAAACTAGTTAGACTAGTTCCTCGTTCCAAAACAGTTTGGTTATTTCACTTTCTATTATATTTCTTGTAACTGGTGTTCCCGGAGGTCTCCCATCACAGTACTAACCAGGCCCTGCCCAGCTTCAGAGGTCTGACAGGATGCGAGATGCAGGTGGTTTACTTTAGATAAATGTTTCCAAAACCTTACTCTTGGCAAAGTCAGTTTGAATAGATTCTTTCTTTGGTGGTGCTCATAACGTCAAAGAACCAACAACGGTGTAACATGAAGAACTCACTGTTGTCATGGCGATCGTTTGGACATTATTTTAACCGCACAAACCCAGTCGTAGAATAAATAGATCCTGGGCAAATTCTTGACTGAGCCTCTTGTAAAACTTTGCCTTGAGGATATAATCGTTAAGAGGCAAAGTTCACGGCTACATTTTTGCTCGTAAAACTATGAGGA